AGATCTCAGATGTCGTTTCTTGGAATCTGGTGAAGCCACTCGCCCAGTTTGGGGGTCAGTGGTCCAGTTACCACAGGCACCACTGTTGCCATCATCTTCCACGTCTTCCTGCGATCCTCTCCCAGCTGTTGGCATTTCTCAACCTTCTTGTGATGCTGCTATCACTTGGTATAGCTGCATCTATCCCTCCGGTTGGTTAGCCATCAAGATAGCATCTCTTTACAGTCTCCAGGAAATTTAAGGTGATGTCCTCTGAACCTTTGGACTGTAACTGTGTGTGTAGTCCAGCTTTTACGAATGCAGAGTCTGTTAGACAGTTACATTTTCCATTTTTAGGTAAATCACATGTAAAGTTTACAGTAAGTCTCCAGGAAATCATGGCGACACAATTTAAAGTACAAAATAAAAGTGTGTGTGTGTAATATTACTGTTTCATACCTCATTGATGTGCTTATAAGTTTTGATGAGGTCAACAGAGAGTTTTCTCAATGGAGCGCTGGCAGGGTCTCTGAAACTAGGGGGAATTCTCCGCTGGAGTATGGTCATATCAGACAGCACCTGCAGAGAACAACAACAACAAACTCGTCTCAGCTTTGATGCAGGAGATGTTCCTCGTGTGTATCAGGACAGCTTCACACTAAAAACTAATGTGTTCATTCTGTGTAAGTGCACATAAATAACCTTTGTACCAACTGTATTAGTTTGCTATTACAACTAATACATGATAAGTTGTTCCACTGCACCAACTTCTAACAAAAAAGAACTTAATACAAACTCTACAGACCATCAGGCAAAGCACACACTCATCTTTTATTCACATACGGGCCAGTTAAGAGGTCAGGTAACAGAATCTGACTGATTGAGGGTTTTTAAATTAAGATTTTAATATTTGGTCCTTTTTTTGACAGATTCCTCACCTCAGAAACATAGAAAGAGGAGGATTACTGATTGATGTTCTGCTTGGATCAAGTGCTGTTGTAGGGTAAGTGCAAAGTGCCCTCTGGTGGACAAACTATGCAACAGCAACACTTATAACACAGTTGAAGGGAGTTAGTCTCATCTTTTTCTTGCTTTTTAGTTTTTATCTGTCTTCTGCTGCTCGTCTGGGTTTGGAAGCAATGACTGTCTAGGACGAGCCTGAATCACCTCACATAGGAGGCAGAGAGAAGCTCACGCAGCTGAACCACCTAAACCTGCTGCTTTACTAATTAGAGGTGTAACAACTCATCATTTGAGCCCCTCTGAGGTGTCTGAGCTCTCTAAGCAAGTGTCCAGCCAGTACCTGTAGAAATGAGACTAGTTCTGGTTAATGACCCAGAGGTCAGGACTACATCGAGGCTTGGAACACAGCTCAGCTGGTAAACCCAGCCTGTTGGTGTTCGTTAGTCAAAAAAGGAATCTATTACACATTATTTGTTACTTTTCTTAAATGTAACAAATAATTTAATTTTTTGTTACATTTATGTAACAAAAAATTGTGGTTCTACATTTATGTAGAACCTCTGTGATCGCCACAGAGGTTCTACTTTCGAAACATGAACAGGTAGCCTGACTGCTCATTTGTTTGTCACCTGTTGAAGATCAGAAGTTTGCACACACTCAGCTTTAACGTCACTCTGGGTTCTGGGCTAGGAGCGTGCAGGAAGAAGAAAAAGCATCTTTGATGTTTCTTCTATCCACCCAGAGTGCAGATCA